GTCCCTTTGCTATCTCTGATGCTGTGAAAAGACTCCGGGTAAATGAGGTGTGGCTCCAACTACGTCCCCAGCAGCCCCCAGGCCTCACCTCCACACTGAGGTTTGCACCTGGGATCTCGCCATCTTTTTTTGCTGTGGGAATCTCCTTGGCCAGAAGGCTATAGGTAGTGATCACGATGTCATACGTAGCGAGGCTGCAGAGATATAACACAAAGCGAACAGTAAACGACCCCCTGTGACTCTGACAACAAAAGGCCGAGTTGATCCCTTTATAAAAATGCCTACAGCTAGAAGGACAGACGGGCAGAATTCCTTAACTCACGTCCTTAAGGCACACACATGTGACTCTGGAGAGGTAAACTTTACTCACTTGGCTTCCTTATCTCTTACCTCTGATCATCTTCACAGTCTATTCACTATAGCTAGAACAGCCTCTCTCTTCCCATTCAATGCTTCAGAAAGGAAAATCTCTGGCTGGGGTCATATTAAGCTTGATATGATTTGGCAAGAACAGAAAGTAGGGAAGGGTTGGGAATTAACATTTAACAATGACTTGAAAGAGATGATATGAAAGTCCCAAGGAAGTAAGAATCCCTCAAAACATTGTTCACCTTACATCTATGATGCTTTGTCCTCATCATTTTATAATGGATTAGTGAAAATCCATTACTCTAGCTTTGACATTTGGGTATAAAAATACATGCTGTAAACTTTCAGTTTACCTTGCCTATACTCTTTACATGTAAAGATTCTTAATGAAAGGCACTAATCTTTTTCCAATGAAGCTTAACATTGTGCACCTGAGAGAACTTCAATCAATACTTTTGATAAAAATGATACACCTAATTCAGGGAGGCAGCAATGTCTACATGTTGCCTCAGCATCGTGTAAAGAAGTATGATTGAGAATGATTCCAATCAGTCAACTAGTACAGTCTGAATACCAAACCAGGTACGATCAAAGTGTAAATCAAGCGAGATGCAATTTATTGCTAAATAAAAATCAAGAACAAAGGCAGGCACTTAGAGTACTCTATGCTGGAGAAGGCATGCGGGACTGCCATTGCCGCCCCGGTACCTTCCGTCTGCTGAAGTGCCCTCGGTCGTGAGAGTTGCTGTGTTCTAAGACTGAAGGTCACCAATTTGGCAGTTTACCCCTGAAAGACTACTGCCCTGTTCTTCAGGAGATAAAATATCCAATATCAGTGGTCAGAGAGAGAGATTACTTAGACACAGAAACAACTTTATTCTTGACTAAGATCAGCAAGTATTCAACCCAGACCATCACATCGCAATCAGGAACGAGAAACAATTTCTTTAAAACCAAAAGACAAAGATTAGGACTAAAATTACCATCTGGGGAAACATTTTCTTTCCTCTTTCCCGATCATCCCCCTTCAGGAATTTACAGTTAGGTCTAATCCTAAACTCTTGAATCCAAAACTTCTTAGATGGTTCATATATGAAAAAAACAGCCATAGAAATATAATCAGCCTATATCAACTAATCGTTAATATTATATCAAGATGCTCTGTAAGACTGAGCTGGTTCCATTCACACTAAGAGAAAAAGAATGTGAATTTGCAATCAGAAATTCAACAACCATGAAATAATTGTGACATATCCTCTTTTACCAGGAGAATGCTGCTGCTACCTGGCTGACCACTCAGGCATCTCAGGCCTCCTCACACAGCAGCTTGTGTTGGGGATAGTGACAAGGTTATAGCAAAAGAACACCATTCTCTCTCACGATGTCTCTCTCAGTACAGGTGAAGGCTATTTAGTGATGAGAGTGCCTTTGGTCTTCACAAATATCATTAATCCTGATTAAACGAAATCTCAAGGAAAGTAGGTAAGGTCAATATGGCTCCTTAAACCAAGATGCTGAGCATCACCTACTGACTGCAACATTTCTGTACTTACACTTGAGCATGCTGATCCCGGTTTGGCCCATGATAGAGACACACTCTTAGTGTCTTGTTGCTCACACATTTCTCTACTTCATTTTTCCAATGATGGATCAGGGAAGCAGGACAGACAATTAGTGTTCCATGGGAAGTAAACTCAGAGGAGTCTTGAAAGGGGAAAGAAACCAACACCTAGTTATACTCATTAAATAGCCTTTAACTTCTCAAAGGCATTAC